CAATTTGATTAGTCCAATGAAAATTTCTTTCGAAAAACGTATGTATGTTATGAATTAATTTTCATCCTTACTGATCCTAATCATCCTGGTTCTATTTAAGGATTTTAAAAACCTATTTGTACATTTCTGAGACTATTTCAGTTTTCCAGAAAGCACACAATTTTTGTGAAACACCAGATGTTGATAAGAAATATTTTTATAGCAAACGAAATGCGAGTGAATCAGAAAATTGTGCGTTTATGCTGACTTAGGAGCATCTGTGCTTGGCGAACTTAAGTACATATTTGGGTCACATAATTAAATGTAAACAAAGTATACTTAGAAAATCGTTCTATGTGAATGGAGAAACATAAAACTAAATGCCACAATAGTATGGCACTCCCCGCCGCCGGCCGTGCGAGCGCGCACGCATTTCACACTCCCCAATTTCTAACTTTTCAATTTCAATTTCTAGAAATGTGTGTATTCTTAAATCGGGCCTTTTGAGGGCACAAAAACATAAACACAGCTGCCGCACTAAAAGCTGCCACTCCGCATTTTCTAAATCTAACACACTCTCCCACCCAAAGCGGCGCACAAATTTATCGAAGTAACAAAACAATAATGAATTAAAAATTAAAGAAAGAATAAGTCATTAAGAGAGCAAGTAATAAGCAGGAGCCAAGAACAGCGCCCGCGCAAACACCAACACCAGCACCAGCAGCAACCACTACAAGCACCAGCACCAGCGTTAGAACAGCAGCAGCCGCTCTGCACCCTGCCGCCTGTGTTTGTTGTAGAAGAACAACAAAAGTACATCAACAAAAGACGAAAATCAACAAATGTGGCATGCAACATCATCCACAGCCGCCAACAAATCAACATTTGCTAAACAACAACTAACAGCAACAACACAATTTTAGTAAAACAAAATATTTTCTCAACAAATTTGCTATCGCTCGGTGAACGCGGAGAGGCGGAGGGGGCTCCTTAAATACGAGCGCTTGAGTATGTGTTTACATGTGTAGTCGCGGTGTGGTGTGCCCGCCAATTAATAAAGTGTGGCCCACACCATGCACACAGCCATTCGACCCCATCGGTTCATTGCCACACTTACTGTTGTTGGTTACAATAACACTGGCACATCAATTGCATTACGCTTCCCTCGATCGGGCTATTATTTCTATTTTAATTATTTACAGTTGTGCGCTGAACGGGGCGGGGTGCCTGCCTGTGTAAGAGTGTGTGTGGGTGCATGTTCAAGTGTTAAAGAATTTCCCTGCTCTGGAAAGTTCTCATTCCTGCATTGGTTTCCCCAATAATTTTAAAAAGTTCCATTTGAAATATCGCGTGCGCCTCAGAGTTTTTTTGTATGTAGTGCCAATAAACTTCCCTTCTAAGCGAACATACATATATATGTATGTTTTTACTATATGCTTATGCATACTATATGCTATATGCTTATAAAATAAATGTATCAGCACGGGTATCAGTTTCCTCCTTTCTCAATCGAAATATGATTCAGTTCCCGCAACATCATATTCCCACTCTTGAAGTACCGCCTGAGGGAAAGAAACTTCAGGGAAAGGATCGCGGACCATGGAAAAAGAAACATAACGAAATAATAATAAAAACGTCGAAATAATCCTAAAATAGTCTTAAAATAATTGGAATTATAATACCTGAATTTGAAAGAAATATTATAACAATACTAAAACATATTTTTGGCTGTCTTTATTCTGTTTGATGTTTTGGAAAACTTCCAAAAGTTAATGCTTCCATATCCAAAGAACAATTCATGATTTTTAATGAAACATTTTTTCGAGAGTAAGAAAGAACAGTTCATAGTTACACTTTATTTAAATAACAGTGTTTAGGTGAAATAATTATAAAAAAAAGTCGAACCTGATTTAATCTTTCCTTGGATTGTTCGATATATCCGAGTATTACTCGCATAATTTAAACAAAAATTAAAGATGGTTGCCACTGATTAACAATTTTCGGATCTTTTTTTGTTATATGCAGAATAGAAGCAAGATTTAATAGAAAGACAGTATCAATATCTTCACTTGAAATCAAAGTCTTGAGAACCATTTCAATTTCACAAAATGACTCGACGGATGGCTTGAGTGTTTTGAAGTTTTTAGTAGAGATCACTCTATGAAAGTTCCATTCTGAAAAATGTTATTTTGATTTATCAGAGAGATAACGGGGAATTTCCACGTCTCTTATGACCCTACTCAAGCATTTTGGTTAGTGTTATGGTATATAAAATACCTAAATATTTTGCAAAAACCCATAATTTTTGGTGACTAGACGAAAGCTTATAAATATTATCTAGTGAATGAAACTCAAACAATGAGCCGAAACAAAAAAAACCAGCACTTGCTTAAGGTACTGAAGGCCACTTTAAACAAAGGTTCTAACAAATGTATGGAAAATTGAAAAATTGAGTTATAAATTTAGAATTTCTTCGACAACGAAGTTCGCTTGTAGTAACAGAGTAGGGAAAGAAAAACGTAAATGTTTTGAGATTTAACGATTATTCTATTATCGCCAAATGACAAGGTTTTTATAGAAGGTGGTGAAGGTGAACATATAACTTCATATTTGAAGTAGATTAATTGATAAAATTCTATGAAAAACCTCGCCAAAAACTCATATTATTACATATTCAAATTTTATGAAACTTCTTGTTTCGAATAATGTGAATCAGAGCAAATCTGTGGGGTCTATAAAGTGGGTATCTCTGAATGAAAAATATTATATACATTTACTCACTTTTTTTCTGATTAAATAAGCCATGAATTGTCTGAAAATAATTGTACAAGTTTAGATATGAAGCAGATCTTTGTTTCAAACTTCAATGCATTTAAATCAAAATGTTTTTGCTTAAAAATTCCTGCGATATATACAAGAAAATATATGTATATGTAATATCTGCATTTGCCCCAAATATGTTGCACATATGCATGTTGGCTGCTGTGTGGTGTCATTGTTGGTATCAATATGCTACCTATAACGGCGACTGCTGCTTACTCCCCCTCACCCAAAGTATTTGATAAATATGTGCAAATACAAACTCATGCATACATATTTACACAAAATCGTTATTTATAGCCTTCAGCCTTCAGCACCTCATCGCTGCAACAATAAAGCGCATGTGTGTATTTACAGCTACTTCTGCATGTGTGCGACTCATCACGCCGCATTTTTGATGCATCATCAGTTGCAGTTAAAGTCTGCTTGCAACATTTCCGCATAGTTGTAGTGTGGCATGCAACTGCTGATGTGCTCCCACAAAACTCCAAAGCCAAAATACATTTACGTAATAACACATTTGAGTGTGTGTGGCACTGTCGCCGTTTCCATTCGCACTTTGCCACATCTGTGGCACAGCAACAACAACGACAGCAGCAACATATTCATGCACGCCAACTTCTTCAATCAGCAGTGATTGCCGCGCGCACATGTGCTAAGTTGGGGCAATAAAGAGTGCCTTAGTGTAATATTATGCGGCGTTCGTCCCCTCCCCTCCGTGTATCGCGCAGCACTCAAATACCACAAACTCCAACACACGTGTTGCGGAGCTGAAGAAGCAGCCTACTTACCGAGGACCCACTCGCATAGCATCGTTCCCCACCCCCTGTCATTGTGATTAATTCTCTTTTGTTTTGGTGTTTCCAGCTTCCAAGCGACACTTTATATTCATTGAAATCAATGCCACCCTCGCCTGTCGCGTGTGGGTGAGTGTGGGCGTGTCATTGGTGCGTCACACGTTTCGTCAGCTGAATCTATATCCCTTATTCGCTGTCCCCAAACATCTGTTGTAGCTTTGGTATTGTTGTTGCTGCTGCTGCCGTCATTATTGCCAATAAAAGGAAGTGTATTCAAATATTTTTCTAAAAATAGGTCGCAACCCCACTTGTCCCCCGAACGATTTCTCTCAAAATAGTTTTTTTTTGTCGTCATTATGGAGGGGTTCGATTTCGTATAATTTCTTATTTTTCAATTCTTAGTCTGCGCTACATGACGTACGACAAATGTATATCCACCGTTCTGCCCAAACAAATATGGCTCTTTGGAAAATATACTTAAAACTTCTGAAAAAATAACATTTCTAAGAAAAAGCAAATATTTGTGAGCTCCTGAAAAATATCAAAACGTGCTCAGAATTTACAAATTTGATGAATTTAGATCCATAATTCATATGAATATAGGCTTGCATATATAATAATGTTTGTATCCTATCCCATATGGCTACGAAAATACTGAACTTTATTGCTCCAAGTATTTATATTTTTTAGAAAGTTGTCAGCTGTCGGAAAAAGAAAATATTATTAAAGGTATCAAGAAAAAAAAAATTTTTTTTGAGATATACTTACATATATATTTAAGCATAATTAAATAAACCATAATTTGTTTAGAGTTATTAACTTTTTATACGCTTGCAACATGTTGCTACAGAGTATAATATGTAGTTTTGTTCACCTAACGGTTGTTTGTATCACCTAAAAATAGTCGAGTTAGAATAGGGCTATGTATATTTAAATGATCAGGATGACAAAACGAGTTGTAATCCGGGTGACTGTCTGTCCGTCCGTGCAAGCTGTAACTTGAGTAAAAATCGAGTTATTAAACTGGTACACAACCAAGTTTTTTTTTTACCAAAAATTTTCTATTTTTATAATCTATAGATTTTACCCTTAGGCTAAGCAAAAAAAAACAAAATTCGCTCCACCCTAATGTACATACATATGTATATCCCTAGTGATGTAAAGTTCAAACGTTACCACTTTGCAAGTTAATGCAACATATTCCCTCAAATATTGTCTGCAGTATGTCTCAAAAACCGTATTGTCCATCTTTATATCAGCTCTTCATATGTTAATAACACAAAAAAAAAAAAGAAATTCTAAAATGTTTGATTAATTAAAGAATTTATTGAAATTGCTTTAATTATCGATAAATTTATTTAAAATTGTTTAAACCTCGATTAATGCTGTATTTTTCATTTCCAGTGACGCTTTGTGATATTTTGTGTGTGAAGATTTGACTTCTCTGAGAAATTGTAGTTTCCAATATCAACATGTCCCATGAACCTCATAATTTGGAGAAGAAAAAGTTATTAAAATGCGGATATTTGCCATTAATATTATTCTGCGAACTATATGTAATTTGTTAAGGTGCGAAGTAATAAAAAAAAATTCAATATGAAAATAAATATTTAATTGTAAAATTCATGAATTTTTAATACAAGTAATTACAAATAATAAGTGCAAGATAATCGTAAGTACCATACATAAAATTATTCTATTAGTCACCCATAAATAAACAAATTCGACCTCTCAATGCCGGACAAAATTGTCAGTCGCAGTTCTGCACTAAATTACATTAACAAACCGATCGTGAAAGTTAATAGCAGTCAAATAATGTTTCTCTCTACTACTAGCAGCTACTAATTCTTTGCTCATCAGTGTCTTTTGAAAAACATAATACCAAACATTTGTATGAAACAGGAAAAAAGTTAACTTCGGTTGCACCGAAGCTTTAACACCCTTCACTAATACAAATGGTTCCTTAGAAGAATTTGATTCCGATCGTTCAGCTTGCATGGGAGCAATATACTATAGTGATCCGATCAGAACAATTTCTTAAGAGATTCCATTATTGCTTTAGATAATGTCCGTTCCAAATTTCGTGAAGATATCTCGTCAAATAAAAAAATATTCGTACAAGAATTTGATTCTGATCGTTCAGTATGTATGGCAGCTATACTTGTATGCTAGAGTTGTGCGATAACGGCCATTCCGACAAATAAAGTTAAGATCAATGTCTCAAAAACTGAAAGACTAGTTTGCATATATATAGACAGACGGACGGACGTACAGACTAAACTGGCTAAATCAACTCAGCTCATTATGCTGATAATTTTTGTATGTATATATTTTATAGGGTCTCCGGCGTTTCCTTCTGGGTGTTATATATAAACTTCGTGGCAAATTTAATACCCCTTTCAGGTAATAAAAAGAGAGTTAAATACCAGGCGCACAAAATCATACTGTAGGCTATGAGAAGCCTTGCAAAATTATTGTTGTGCCATATAATGTTTACTTAGAACGCCCTTAACAACAAAATATTCGTTCAAATTTTCGTGTTATCCCCAACAACTGTTTTTAGATGATCGAATCATTTACGTTAATAAGTGATCAAAGCAATGTTGTTAGTCGAAAAAGGGCAGAAATTAAGTATTAATGGTAAAATTGGTTACTGCTTGCCTGCTCTGCTCAACTGATGCGTTAAATAATTAAAAAAAAAAAAAAATTTTTAATTTTAAATTTTAGATTTTTTCCCTTAAAAGGAATGTCACATGCGGCCTTAGTTTTTGCAGGGAAATACCAGACGCACATGAAGAAAAAGCAGAATGTCTAGTAAAGGCATATGGTAAATATAAAATCTAAAATGTGCTTAATGCTACAAATAAAAATGTTCGTTCCGTTACGCTTGTTTTGGCTCGTGTTCGCCATAGTTACCACCCAATCAAACTATTTATTTATCTTCAATTTAAGTGTCTATACTTTATTTATTTTTTATTATATATTTATCTTTGATTTAACTATTTATATTTTATTAATATAATTTTATTTAAAATACAAACTTGAGAGCGTTTGTCCTTTAACAACTACTTCTTCCAAGTTGAGGTACCTTAAAGTTAAAACTAACTAAACGCCCTCATGAAAATCAACAATTAAGTCAAAGTAGTTTAGATTGAAACTTCTCCAGCACAGGGTGTATCACTTGGATTTATTTAACTAATTTCAGACTTATTGTAATATGCAAATATAAGCAGAGTAATTATAAAGAAATTTTATTTCACAATTGCACGAAATAGTAGTTATGAGCTTTCTTACATTATCATGTTTAACTTAAAAAATCTTTGTTATCAATTTCCCGCTCTTCTGTAGTATTAATATAAATAAATTTTTCTTTATGTCAGTGCCAAATCCAAATGAGAAATATTTTAAAGCTTCATAAGTACTTTATTTAGTTGGACTGGATCAGTTAATATCGAACTGCAAATAAAATTGTTATTCCATTATTTGAAGTTAAAGAGATGTATTGTATTTACCAGTTTATATCAGTTTGTTACAATTTTTAATATTTCTCGTTAATATAAATACGTATGTGAAATCAGCGTGCACCCAGCTTCAATGGCCAACCATTGGCTTCTCAAATATGACTAATTGTTTCGTTTGTCAAACCAGTCCTAAGTAGCGAACATTTTCCTGCAAACAAAAATCGCAACAACAATGTGATTGTGGGTAGCCGCTATGGCAACATGTAAATGGCAAAAGTACTTTCATGTAGCGGCACATATTACTTGTTATTGCAAGTAATTATTGATGTTTGGAAAACAACAAATCGTCAAGGTATTTTTTATAGTTTTGCATTTTTTCATCATTCCTAATTTTCATGAGTGCCTAGTAGTTCGGGAGCAATCGTTTTTTACATCAAAGTGGTGTTTGTTGTTCATGTTTTTGTGTTTCGTGGAAAAAGAGTTTGAGAATTTTATTAGGTATTTTATATTTTATGCAAAAATTATAAAGTTTTCTAAAAATTATTAAATTTTATTAATAAAAAAATAAATTATTCATTAGTTTTTTTAAATAACTATTTTTATATTTTTTTTTTGTCTACAAATCGATTGTGCTTTGTTGTTTGATTTACTAAAAAACGAATCTTTCCCGACTTTAATCTCGACGAGCATTTAAAGCTTCGAAAAGGCAGGTAAATTCAAGATTTTTTTCTGTGAAAATAACGAAAAAAATGTTTATTAAATTCAGTGGATTTTATTACTTATATAACCAGATAATAATTAAAGTAAATTTTTCTGATGATTAGAAAAAAATGTCGGCTGAGCTGGTGGTTGACTATCAGGTTGCTGTTACAGTAGGGCTCACGTCAAACTAATATTATATTCCAATTCAGACTCTAGAAGAAAACCCTGAAATATTTTAAATTTTAATGCAAATGGTTCAGATAGAATTTTAAATTTTTGTAAGACAGACAAAATTTATAACAAATGAAATATGGGAACTTGTTTGAAAATTTCTTCAAATTTCATTTTAATCAGTTCAAAAAGTTAGGTTAGGCAAGGTTGTAGGGTTGATCCTCAAATCAAAGGAACTGGATCTCACTTGGACAGCTGTGAAGTCTGTTCTTTTTATTTTTCATAAAGTGCTATAAACTGGTCATAGATTAAGAACATAGATCATTGATTGATAGGATTTATTTTGGGAGGATACAAATTTAGTTACCAAGTGTGAGAAGTATGAAATGGAATATGATACAAATATGCTTGAAATTGTTCTAATAGCAATTCACTATAAAAATGAATAATAATAATATTAGTTTTTAATACAATTATATTGACAATAAATAGTTGAAGCATTATGGGTTTTGAAGGCAAAATGTAAAGCTGCAACAACAAGTACATAATTTCCAACCACTTTTGGTTTAACTACAAAACTATTTATTGAAATTCAGAAGAATGCAAATCATAATTATTTCTCTCTCATTGAATAATTTTGCGTGGGTTTATTACACATTTACAATACGAACATAATTACAGGTACTCGAAAGGGAAGCTATTGGTTCGCAAAGTGCAGCGACCTTCACAGTCGTCCAACCATGCAACGCAAAAGGCACTCATAATAGCATTCATAAATATATATATACAAACACTTGCAAATATTTAGAAAATTAATTTCACTATATGAAGAAAAACATCGCGCCCCCATTTGAATGTCAGCGAATCCTCCAACCAGACCAATACAAACTGTTCCATCGGAGAGCAAACCGAAAGGCACAAAAACAACAGCAAAGCCAACCAAGCAGTCAACCACTTAAGCAGCGAAACGGGCCAACAATCCCACCGAACAGTCAAAGAATTGAATAACCAAGCGTGGAATTCAAGGTGGATGGCTGCCTCAAAGATCATGAGACGACGAGGTGGCCAGGCCATGCACGGGAGAGAGTCGGTGAAGCGTCATCACTCATAAAAAGTGCGGTATTTTCAATTTTTGATTTTTCTGCAAATAGCAAACGCCGAGACGTTGGTTCGAGCGAGAGAAAATTGGGGGAGGTAGGGCCCTCCGCACTTTGCATTTGCGCTTCGTAGGCGTCTTGCGCGAATTGGCCAGCAAGGGTTCGCAAAATCTACAGAAAGCATTGAGAAAAGTCGCGTGCAAAAAACGAGTGTTAAGACTATGCTTGGCTGTGTCTGGAGTCGGTTGTGGGGAAACGTCATAATACTTTATAAACGTCGCTGCTAAACAAACCAATCCATGTAGATATGTATGAATGCGCTTGTAGTACATACTCACTTACTTCTTTGTACGCATGCAAACACTTTCCAGTGAGTGAATGCATAATTTTTCTTTATCTGCTAATTCACAGACAGTGCAAACAATTGTTCGGAAATCATCTTGGCAACCAATTCAGTTTGTCTTCATGATTTCCATAACATTTCGTTGACTTTTGCATGTTATTTTTTCTTTTCAAGTTTAGTTTTGCCTTAGTATGTGTGAAGAGTAAGAGAAGTCATACTGTTTATTGAATATGAGAATTCTATTAGTTTACGAATTTTATTTAAGGTATGGCTTAATTGTATACATATGTATATATTGGCTACTAGATACGACCTATAATTTAACCGTTCACTTATATAAAATGTTTCTTAAGGAGTTTGATTTTTGCCGATCAGTTTGTGTGGCAGCTACAAGTATATGCTAAAGTGCTTTGGACAATAGTCCATGCCGAATTTCGTAAAGATATCTCGTCAAATACAAAAGTTTTCCATACAGACACTTGATTTTGGTCGTTCAGTTTGTATGGCAGCTATATGCTATAGTGATCTGATACATGAGCAGTTTCTTGGGGAGTAAAGGATCCGATCATTATCTCGCGTATAAACTCGTACAGACAGAAGGACCGACAGACAGACATGGCTAAATCGACTTAGCTCGTCATGCTGATCATTTATATGTATGTATTATAGGCTCTCCGACGTTTCATTTGGGTTTACAATTTTCGTGGTCGACCCTGTTCAGGGTATAAAAATATTAAGGTTAAGATTCGCTTCATTCAAGTGTTCAAGGCAAATTTTGCACCTATGATTGAGGCCTTAGATCGACGAAGTCTATAGAGCTTGATATAAATTTAGCTGGTTAAGAAAACTAAAATGGGTATAGGTAATGAGACTGACTGAACTCCATTATAATTGGTTAAAATCTCTCCGATAGATTCACTTCCGAATGAGGTTTCAGAGAGAAAACGAATATCTAGCGTTCAAAAATGATATGCTCTTTAACAAGATCTGGTTAAAAACTAGCGGTGGTCGAAGGCTCAAAGTTGTAGACAATTTTGTATAATTAGGACCCATCATCAAAAGTGACAAAATTGTAGAAAAAACTTTAGTTAAAAAATAGATGGACTCTGTAGTTATTTCGGAAGTAAAGTCTTCTAGGGTCAAACGAATATAATATTATATTAAAATAATCCTCGGATGAATAAATTCACAACAACAATAACGCAAAAAAACATTATCCAATTTGTATTTAGGTCTACACACCTTGACTTCTCTTTTTGCAGCCCATTGGACTCACTATAGTTATTTGATACACACAGATCTAGTGAGCACAACATCTGTATCTAGAGCACAAATAAATCAAAAGCGAAAGCTCCAGGGTTTTAAATGCAGCAATGCTGAATTCATATCTCAATGCATGTGTACATATATACATCTACACATACATACATACATATCCACAGTCATGCATACTCACAAATCGACTTGCATGGCTATTTATGGAGATTTTAGTTCCATTATTCAAAATTCAAGTGATTTTCCAAGGCGTCATGCTTGATAGTTGAGATTACTGTCCGCATACACGAGTGTAACAGCACACACATGCATACATATAAATCTACACTTGCGCAAATTAATATGTGTGTGATATTACAAGATAGTGAGTGCAGCAATGCCAACAAATCGAGTACAATAAACATTTCTCACACAATTTTCACAAATAAAATGCATAAATTGAAATCTGAAACACATAAAGCAAACACAATTACCCAGCGGCCGACGACTGCCGACTGTTGGCTGACGACTAGGGTTGGCGATGAGCACGAAAATGGCTTGAAAAATTGTCGATCTGTAACGATAAGCTGGATGGTTGTGTATGTTAATATTTTTACATGTTTGATTATGAAGAGTGTGCCAACAGGTGTTTAATTTCTTAAAAGAAAATAAAAGAACATTTTTTGTAGCTGTGGGTGTTGAAAATTTAGCCTTTTATGATATGATATATTAACCCTTAATCAACTATCGTTTACTTTGAGTGATTTTTTATACAAAAGTTAGTTTAAGTTACCTTACAAAGACACCCTTTATTTTGAAAGAGCAATTACTTAGACATACCGACTAACACAAAATAAGTTGTAATTGTAAGTAGTAATACTCTACAAGTAGAAATACACAAATTCCTAGACGTAGGCAATATGACAGCAGACGCTTCACGCTCTTGCGCGCTCTCAAGTAGTTACATGCGATAATGTGACTGTTAGCAATAAAGGTGGCGAATTTCAATCTTTCCTAAAATGCTGCATAAAATCGGAACCATTGTCATTCAAATTTTACTTTTGAATTTCCAAAAATCGATTGCTTTTGCTCCTATATCGAATTTGCGTATAGTGGAGAATATTCCCTAAAAATTTTAGAATATTCTCTTGAAATTCGAAGTAAAACCGAAAAATATTTTCAAAAATATGTGTTAATTTTTAAGATTTATGTAATCTGCTTTCCAAACTTTAATCGTTTTTCTCGAAACACTGCTTTCAGAGTTCTTGAGGACTTCTACGAAATGGCTGAACCAATCGATTTGAAATTTTCACACGGCCATCTTAGATTTCAATTACAAATCATATATTACATATCACCACACCATACGGTCTGAAACCGAAAATTTGACTAGTCCTTCGAGCATTAACTATATTCATCTATAGTAATAATATTTTTTTTTTGTTGGGTTTGAGTTAATTTTAAACAGATAAATCTTCCTCACCCCCCGACACCTTTGTTCGGAGATCCTGCTGGAGATAGGCTAGGGTTTCAAGGTTAGGTTAGGTTAAGGATGGGTGATTCCTTTATCAAGGCGAGATATTACACTAAAACTGTTATGTCGTTTGTGAAGCCATACGAAAAAACTCCTGTATTTGCTTATAATCTATGTATCGGCAAAACGCCCTGAACTTATCAAAAATCTGATAAGTTGTTTTATTTATATTTCAGCTATTTTACCTGTATGTATGAGATCCAGCCTTGATCTGGCAAATCGGAACAATCGAGGAGAAAGTGTTGAGATGATTCTATCTTATCTTCTTCTAACCAGCTAATGTTTCTGCCTTACGGTAAGATGTTCAATCTTACTGCGTGAATCCCTATCGGACAATGACCAGTTAGAACTCCTACAACCATTGAACGGTGATCTTTACTAAGTGCCAAGAGTTCCCTAGATCTTTTGCGATTTATTATGGGCAAGACAGACCTTGCGGAATTTTGGGAAATTTGTTTTTTTTTTTTGTTTATAAATAAAATGCCACTTCAAAAAAATATAAAAAAACGAGATTTTTCTGACTTGCAAGTGGATATAACCTCTTAAGCAGTAATTAGTCTTTAGCTTAAATAAATGTGTACCTTTCAGGGACAATGCATAATAGAAATTGAAGCTTCAATTTCATCTAGTTTCTATCCATTTTCTTTTATTTTAAGCAAATGAGCTCAAAGTAGCAAGGATTTTCTCTCATAAAAGCGTCGCTCAGAATTCAGCAACCAACTCTCGACCACCTTTCTCCAGTCATATTACTTCACAATGTAAGAAAATTATTTAAATATAATAATATATTACTATTTACTAAAGTTTTATGGCCCCTTATAATAAA